AGGGGGGAGGGTCAGAGGGAGAAGCAGACTCCCCGCCGAGCAGGGAGCCCGATGCGGGACTCGATCCCGGGACTCCAGGATCATGACCTGAGCCGAAGGCCGTCGCTTAACCAACTGAGCCACCCAGGCGCCCTTGTTTTCCATTTTATTTTATCTTGAATGTAGTTACGTTGGCTTTGCAATAAAGAGGTGGAAGGAGGATCAGAGAGGAGGAAAGAAGCCTCCCCTGAGATGTGGGAAGCTCTGCATTGTGGTGGCAGAGCCTCAGAGAAGGGGGCGCTGAGACATGTGAGTGGGAGTGGGAGTAGCGGTTCTGGAGCTTGCCGTGAGGTGTGAGCCCTCAAGCAGCCAGAATCATGCTTTGGACCCGACCCCAGGCAGGTGGGTCCCACGTGCATTGCCGCCCTGGTACCCTGGCACCTGCAACCAGTTGGGGAGCGTCCTTTGTGGTCACTCCCTGGTCCCTCAGGCATCAGCGGGTTGCCTGGCCCTGGCTGAGTCCCCACAACCGCCCCACCCCCGGGCTGCAGTGTCTGTCTCCTGGGTCCTGGAGAGCAGACCGGGACCAGCCCAGGACCGACCCCACCTGTCCCTGGCTGTCTTTCAGGAAGACCATGCTCAACGACCTCCTACGGTTCGACGTGAAGGACTGCTCCTGGTGCAGGTGGGTGGCCTCTGAGCCCCAGCACCACCCCCCCCGGTCCTCAGATTCTGCCTCCGGAGAGCCCTTCAGTCACCCAGCCAGTCTCCTGGGCCAGGAGCTGCTATGGGAGGTGACACGGGGGCCGGGGTGGGGGGGGGCATCGGCTGATGGGTCCTTCCAGGACCGACCCTGTGCTGCTGCAGGGTGCTGCCCAGGGGCTGGCAACACTGGCTGTCCTCCCCTCCGTGCCCCTGTGGGGCCCATCCTCTGCCCGGGTAGTACCCCACATGGGTAGTGGGCTGCATGCGAGCCCTGGCCGCCTCCCACAGATGGCCCTCCCGGCTGTGTGGCCTTGGGCGAGACACCTGCCCTCTCTGAGGACGGCATGTTTGTACCCATCTGCTCCAGTCTCCAGCCCTGCCCAGGGGGCAGCTCTCAGCTGAGGGGGAGAAAGGGATCCCAGGATTAGGAGGTACTAGGCTTCCTCCTGAGCTCTGCCATCTGCTTGTGCAGGAGGGGCGCAGAACCACCGAGTCACCTTGGGTGCCACACTCTGGGCAGGAGCTCTGTGGGCATCTGCCAGTCCCCTGAGTCCCCGCTGTGGTGGGGTCTCACTGCCCCCCTTTGATGGAGGCGGACGTAACTGAGCACTGGGATTGCCATAGAAGTTTATGTCTCGTTCCTCTCATACTTGCTTTTTTTTTTTTTAAGAGTTTATTTATTTGACAGAGAGAGACACAGCAAGAGCAGGAACACAAGCAGGGGGAGTGGGAGAAGGAGAAGCAGACTCCCCGCTGAGCAGGGAGCCCGATGCGGGGCTTGATCCCAGGACCCTGAGATCATGACCTGAGCCTAAGGCAGACGCTTAACTGACTGAGCCACCCGGGCGCCCCTCACACTTGCTTTTATAATATAGACAGTAGTTACAGATTAATTTTAAACATCACCTTAAAGACTGTACAATCCTTTACTAATAATTGCTTAAGGACAAAACACTGAAAAGGAGCCACTTCAGGAAAGCAGTATAAATGGGTTTTAGTTCAATAAGGAAAGCGTGTGGCCGGCTGCCGCGGGTGGGACCCAGCGCTGCTAAATGCGCCATGGTGCCGCTCAGTCCAGAGCAGCAGGAGACCCGAGTCCCTCTCTGCTGTTGAGTTCAAAAAGCAGAGGTTACAAAATACCTACCACATGACTCCATTTACAATACAGAGGCATCAATATCAATATGCATAGGAGAGGTGTGTGTGTGGGGGGTGGGGGTGGTGACCTAAAGTTATAGATGGTGCTTTCTGGCAAGTCTTAGTGCTGGTTTTGTGCTTTTTCCTTATCAGCAGTTTTTGTTCAAAGTTTCTATAACGAGGGGCGTCTGGGTGGCTCAGTCGGTTAAGCATCCGACTCTTGGTCTCAGCTCAGGTCTTGATTTCAGGGTCGTGAGGTCAAGCTCCATGTTGGGCTCCACTCTGGACCCACGTGGAGCCTACTAAAAAAAAATAAAAATAATATAAAGGTTAAAAAAAAAACCCTTTCTAAAAAAATTTCTATAATGAGATAGATATTGCCTACAAAATACAAAAATGAAAGGAATCCTGGGGGTGGCAGGGGCTCCCCTGTGTGGCATGGACTGCACAGCTAGCTGACCCCTGCTGACTGCTCCCCCCCCCCGTGCCTTGTTTCCCCCCCGCAACCAGGGCCTTCACCACCGGCACCCCGCCGGCCCCCCGCTACCACCACTCGGCCGTTGTCTATGGGAGCAGCATGTTCGTCTTCGGTGAGCTGCCTCATCTCCAGGGCCTCTGGGTTCCTCCACTGGCCTGGGGACCCCTTTCCCTAACTGTCCCGATGTCGCAGGGTTGGAATGGTCCCCCGCCCCCATGACTGGGCGGGAGGGTGACACACCTCCCTCCTCTGTCACTGCACCAGGGGCAGGGAACAGGGTTCTGCTCATTTCTGTGTCCCCAGAGCCTAGTACAGAGTCAGGCAGGCAGGAGGTGCTCCCCAAGGTTTATGGAGGGAGTCCCTGAATACATCTTAAATGAGGCCAGATTCTGCCCCCACCTCCTGGGGTTTGAAGCCTCTGAGATGCTACCTTTGGGTATGACAGTTTCTCCCTCTCTCTACCCAGGGGGCTACACTGGGGACATTTATTCCAATTCTAACTTGAAGAATAAAAACGACCTTTTTGAATATAAGTTTGCAACTGGCCAGTGGACGGAGTGGAAGATTGAAGGACGGTGAGAGACTTTGCTGAAACCTTTGGGGGGTGTCCCGATGGCTACTGCACTGAGTCCCCTGTAGCCTTACAGAAGAAGAGCCCGAGGCCCAGAGAGGCCTGAGTTGTGCTCACTCCCAGCTGTGCCTGTCTGAGGCGTCCTCCCTGTCCTTAGATTCTCTCCTTTCAAAGAGCAGAGGGGGCCCCAATGGACTGCTGATGGGTGCTTCTCTGGTCCTGTTTTGCCAGGACTGCCCCCCCCCCCACTGTTTGATATTTTGGTGTGGCTGGGAGGGGGCTTTACCCCGTGGACATCTGAATTCCTCATCCCCCGGCGCCGCCTCGCAGGCTCAGCCTCATGACGCCCAGCTGGCATCCCCAGAGCCCTGGTGTCAGCAAATGTAGGCGCGGCAGCCCTGGGGTCCCGGCCGGCCTCGTGGGGCTGTGAGGCTCCCGTCTGTGCTGGGTGGCCTCACTCCTCACCCCCCACCTCGCGCTACAGGTTGCCAGTCGCCAGGTCCGCCCACGGCGCCACGGTGTATAGTGACAAGCTATGGATCTTCGCTGGATATGATGGCAACGCCAGGTAGGTGGTGCCCGGCCCCAGCGCCCCGCCTCTGAGCAGCCCCGCCAGTGTCCTGAGGCCCGCAGCGGGCCTTCCTGGCGTGCACGGGAGTGAGGGGATGGAGGTGGAGGGCACTGAGTGGAGCTCCCGCCCAACCCCGCGGAGGTCAGAAGGATTGGCACCCCGAAGGCACCTCCTGGGGGTGTCCGAGGGGGCGGCAGGCCTGGCCCACGTTCGTGCAGCTCTCTACGGCTGTGCTGGTCTCCATGGCAACAGGTGTCATAGCTGGGTGTCGTCAGAGCTGTGGGGTGGGGGATGGCCCCTGAATTGCCGGGGTGAAAATACGCAGGCCCACAGTGAGGAGGGACCCTGAAGGGCTGTGTGAGCAGGTGGCGGCAGCCGCAGGTCTCAGACCCAGCCCCTCCCCTGTAGACGACAACCTAGGGCTCCTGCCTGTGTACCAGGCCTTCCCATTTTAGGAAATTGGCTTTGCTGCATTTTTCTGATTATAAATTCCCCAACATCTCAGCAGCATAGAAACTTCAAAGGGTGGGGCGCCCGGCTGGCTCAGTCGAAAGAGCGTGCCACTCTTGATCTCGGGGTTGTGAGTTTGAGCCCCATGTTGGGTGTAGAGATTACTACAAATAAATTAATTAAAAAAGAAGCAGCAGCAGCAGCTCCAAGCGGTGGCAATGTTAGTGGTGGTTTCTGCGAGTGTTGCCTCTTTGAAGTCCTCTCCGAGCCCTAGGGGTCAGCCGAGTGAGATGGACCCTGCCACACTGGCTGGACGTTGGGAATGAGGCCATGCATTCCTGTCTGGGCTGGAGGGGCACATAGCAGGGATTCACTGCAGCCCCCCTGCCCTGAAGCTCCCACCTCATGGCTGCTCCCTAGGCCCCTGATCAGAGTCCTGCGCGATGTGTCCTTCCCTGGAGCCATCCCTCCCGGCCGGGTCCAGGCCCACCCTGCCACCAGCCCCAGCTGCAGAGATCCTGACCCCCCTGTCCTAATGCAGGTTGAACGACATGTGGACCATTGGCCTCCAGGACCGGGAGCTCACATGCTGGGAGGAGGTGAGGGGTTTGGGGTGCCAAGGTGGGGCAGAGGAGACAAGGGAGGTGAGGGGATTGGGGTCCCAGAGTGGGGTGGGGAGGCAAGGAGGTGAGGGGTTGGGGGTCCAGAGTGGGGTGGGGAGGCAGGGAGGTGAGGGATTTGGGGGCCCAGAGGGGGGTGGGGAGCAGGGAGGTGAGAGGTTTGGGGGTTCAGAGTGGGGTAGGAGAGGTAGGGAGGTGAGGGTTTTGGGGGGCCAGAGTGGGGCAGGGGAGGCAGGGAGGTGAGGGTTTGGGGAGCCAGGGTGGGATGGGGAGGCAGGGAGGTGAGGGGTTTGGGGGTCCAGAGTGGGGTGGAGAGGCAGGGAGG